TTAATTTAACTAATTTAATGATTATTCGTCCCAAAACTTTCCGGTGCCGGTGTGGTGCGGTGAGGTAATTAGTTTTGAATTACAAGTTTATTGTTAGCGTGTTTATGGAAGTGGTCGTAGTGGATATGATTTGTTTTTCCCTTTTTTTATATTTTTTCTTTTTCTTATGGGAATGGACTCACTTTTTGTTGACCATGCCTTACCTTTTCCGGTTCCGGCTTCCGATCTCCGAGTTCTCGTTGTCGGTTGTCAAAAAATCTCTGCCTCAGCACCAGCATTTCCAGTTTTTCCATTCTATTACTTTTATCGGTTTTTTTTCCGACGGCAAAAACATCTTTCAAGGCCATGGCCTGGTCTCACGCCGCTTGTCTCTCATTTACATATAAGTGTGAGTGCAGTTCATCCTGGTTTCAATGTGAATGGAGATACTTTTGGGCCAGGGAGAGGTGGTTGAACATAAGGGCGAATTGGGGTTTCCTTTCCTGGTCGTCCACCAGAGCACAGAAGCACACGAAAACGAATGGTAAGCGAGGGACAAGTCAAAGCAAAAAGTCGTTTTAGTTTGAATTTGCCAAATAATCCACGACACGGTTATCTTGACTTTCACACGTCCTCGTGTGTTTACGTTTCGAAAATTATACAAAATACTATCTCTCAATAACAAATAAAACACGTTATAATCATGTTAAGGCATAAGTATTAAATTCGCTAAATAAAAAGCCTTAATCTATTAATCTATGAATAACAATTTGGACTTAGCATTTTCCTTTTCGATCCAAACTTAGTAACTGTGTTCACATATTTTTAAAAGTCGTGCAACATTTTACATTACATTTACATTACATTAACAATTTCATTAACGAACAATCTCATTCCTTTTTATGAAATTCGAAATTTTTTTCTCGACCAAACGACCGACACATAGCACACAGTTGTCTCGACCAACTGGCCAACACATAGCACACAGTTGTGTCAACCAACTGGCCAATTACTATTAAACAGATTCAAATCACCGATCCTTCTGAAGATTTCGACTAGACCATAGCAAACGGCGAACCACATAACTCGGCCACTCATTTGTACAGAAAAAAACGTGTAAATCTAAGGGTTAAACGGAGATTTTCGTTATAATTTACATCTTCTTATTCCATTATAACATCGCAGTCCTCATCGGCTCGATCAACAACAATCCCATTCTCTGGCAACCTTAAAAATTCATGGGAATATTTGTATGTTCGATTGGTTTAAGTTTATATCCTGGTAATCGCTTAACAACTAATAACGGGCCCTTAAATTTGAAGTCTGGTTTTGTCTGATGTCGCTCTATATTCTTGAGTAGGTCATGATCTCCAATTTTATGCCATACAATAGTGTCTTTGTACTGGTCGAATCTTAATACATATCTCATACTTCGAATTGAGCTATTCAATTTGCGAAAGTTCAATACCAGCCGCATTTTCTGGTTGCCCGCTTTGTCAGTGCCCTTTTTATCTACTACCCATATTGGGTTATTGTAGGCGGACTTAGACTTTTGGATTATGCCATTTTTTAGTAACCCTTGGATTTCGTTGTTGATAAAATCTGCTGCTCCCATTGGGCTCCTCACTAACAGTTCTGATGGTAGCTACCACCGACGTGTTGTAAGTAGGGTCTCTTGTGCCAAAGCAAGTGCTGACGGCATGTCCTTGGGCTTTGCCGAGAAGAGGACGTCTGTGAGATTGCGTCTTAATCCCAAGGTAAATACTCGAAGGGCATCATTCCGGAATTTGTCGCATAAGACCTTTGCTGCCGAAGCGCCGAACGACATGTGAGAAGGGTGAGCTTTTTCTTAAACTCATCGTAATCTTGCAGAAGGGAGAAATTTCCCTGCCTAAGGGTGCCCATTTCCTGCTCGATAACATGCATCGGTCGCTTGTCACTGTATTTAAAATCCAACCGATTTATGATCGCATGGAAATTTAAAACCGTGCCAAACGAGGACATTACGGCATCGGCAGGGCCCCTAATTTACTCCTAATGATAACAAATGCCTGATATTGGCGCGAACTATTAACATGATCCCTAAATATGCGGTATGCCGCTTTTGCTGCTTGCCTCCAGGAAACATACGTTTCTTGTGCCCCGGTGAGCTCGGGCAGACACTTGATATCCTGGTAATCGCTTAACAACTAATAACGGGCCCTTAAATTTGAAGTCTGGTTTTGTCTGATGTCGCTCTATATTCTTGAGTAGGTCATGATCTCCAATTTTATGCCATACAATAGTGTCTTTGTACTGGTCGAATCTTAATACATATCTCATACTTCGAATTTTTTTCCATATTATGCTTAGCTGTATGAGTGCAGGTTCATTGGTCAAGATGTTGCATTTGCTTGTGCTCCGGGTTCCACTCAAACGATATGTTCTTAGAAATTAATGCATACAGAGGTGTCAAAACATGTGAAAACTGAAGTACAAATTTCCTAAAATAAGAAACTAGACCAATAAACTGTCTCAGCTGCGTCACAGAAGGCTGGTAAATCAGTCAAAGCTTTTAAAATTCCTTGGATCGGGTCGTATTTCACCTGCCTTAACTTCACACCCCAAATATTTAACACAGGATTTAAGAAAAGAGCATCAATAGTTATTTGAAATAGTCGCACTTTTGCGAAGCTCCGCTTTAAACAAAGAAAAACACCTTAAACTAGACTTAGAAAACTAAAAACTGCTTACTGCAGCAACATAAACAAAAGTAAAACACATATAACTTCTTTTTGCCCAGAATAAATCGGTCTTAAGCTATTAAAATCGCTTCTTAAAAATCCCTAAAGAAACAGTGCATAGCATAACAAAAGAGCACAAAGACACAGCACTCAACACAACAAAACACTCGACCAAAAAACTCTTGTCTCCAACACAAATATATTTTCAACAGCAAAGCGACTGAGGAAGGAAAGTCCGTTGTTCAATTGCTTCAGACAATCGACTTCAGATTTTCCGAGCAAAAGGAAAGCCTTGCGGGAGAGATCCGTGATGGTGAGGCACGTACATCCGGCAGTCTGGAGGAGAAATTTAAGTTGATAGCAGCTAACTGCAACAAACTTTCTCTGCGAGTCACTCAACTGGAGAGCGAGATGAGAAAGATGGGGAAGAGGGAGCGGGTCCAGGAGCTGGAGGCGAAACTATCCAAAAACTGACTTGAAGAGTTGGAGGCAAAGTGGGTGGCCTCCTGCAACGCACAGGCGGAGTCTGAAATCGCCGGTGAGTTGCGTTAGCATGGGGTCCCACAAGTCCAGGGGAAAAACGTGAAAGTACTCTTCCCGCTCCAACTGACCCCCCCGCCTAAAGTACATTCTATTTTTAAAATGCGACCGCGAAAATTCCCCCATACACTCCAATTATAACTATTAAAATGGAACACGTGCCCGATAAAGCAGCACTGCTGCGAGCGGTCATGGCTTAAAGCTCATCGGCCTAGATTCGCCAGCGTTTATATATAATATATAAACGAACAGCTGACCAAACCAAAATACGAGATCTTTAAGCGGACGATGCCTCTCAAGTGGCAAAAGCGCCTTACAGCTGTTTTCTTTTAGCGTGAAGATATCTACGTAAAGGAGAAAGAATAAGGGGAGACGATTTGCGTGCAAAGCTTGGGTTGTAGTGGTGGCACGAACAAAATATCGTTAGACATCGGTATTTTCCGGTATTTTTTCTAAAAACGTTCGTGGCGAATGGTTTTTAATCGCATTAATTTCAAATGCGGCATTTAGCCTTATGGGATTCCCTGTGTAAATAAATGCGCATTAGGCTAAATGCATTTTAATTCGCCAATGGCTATAAATCAAGTTAATTCCACATATAGATAGATCTTATATTTCTATTTATCTAGATTTCATATTTCTATCTGATCTGTGTAAAGTGATAGCACGATCTACTCCGTTGTGCACTCGAGAGGACGCACACCATCCAACACTTCACTTAACTACTATTGGTAATAGTATACCTAATACGTCCACAATCCCTGTGCGAACACGATGTTTCCGAAAAGTCAAATACTTGCAAATGTCGCCCTATCCCTAGTTGATTGTTAGTGTCTCTTAAAATATCCTGCATATTTTAATGGATGAGCTAGTTCCCACCACGATAATCAAAACTTCCAACTGTCCTGCGTGGTCCTCAAAACACTTGACTCATTTGAAAAATATCAAGACCAGGCTGTATAAGAAAGTTTCGAAATCTGATCCGCAAACTGATTTTTCCAAATATAGCGTTGGTAAATCAAATTATTTGTTACATAATTCTGAACGTTACACCTACCTAAGAGCATTTGACTAGGTGCTGGCGGTCTGCTCTAAACATACTCCCCCCGTTGGAAGAGGCACGGTTCCAACCAAATGGGATTCGATGGGCAGAGCGGCTAGTTTGGTGACGGCCCTTTTGGTAAGACCTGTAGCTGTCCGGACCACAGCTACTCTGACGACACCGTCCTTTACGATCATGACTTCATGGATGCACCCAAGCTGCCATTTCATCGGTGGAAGGTTGTCCTCCTAAAGCAATACAACACGACCGATTTGGATGTTGGATATTTTGATCCGTCATTTGCTTCGTTCTTGCAACAGGGACAAATACTCTTTGCTCCATTTTTTCCAGAAGTGATGCTGAATTTGTGTTATTCTTTACCAACTGCTTAACCGGCCTTCGCGAAGATGAGTAACGTCAGGCTCAGGAAACCTTGTGTAGCTGGAACCTTTGAGGAAATGCGCTGGCGTTAGCACCTCAAAATGTGCAGCGTTTTCTGAAATTGGACAAAGCGGACGGGAGTTAAGAATGGCAGAAATTTCATATGCAAGTGTTCTTAATTCATCAAGGGCTAAGATGGCTGCACCGACAACTCGGTAGAAGTGAAATTTTGCCGATCTTACAGCCGCCTTCCATAGACCACCGAAATGTGGGGAACAAGGGGGTATGAACTTCCAATCAATCCCATTCGCTAAGCAGGAAAAAGTTAAAAAACCTCACATGGGTTCGCTCAAAAATAACTCCTTCAGTTCCGCTAGCTCTCGTTTAGCGCCAACAAAGTTTGTCGCATTATCACTACAAATAGTACGTGGACTGCCTCTAAGGCTAACGAATCTTCTCAAAGCTGCAATGAAAGAATCCGTTGTGAGATCCTGGACGACTTCCAAGTGCGCAGCCTTCGTCGAAAAGCAGACAAAGACGGCGATGTAGCACTTGTAGGGTGCTTTGTTCCGGGCCTCTGACTTGTGATAGAACGGTCCACAATAGTCCACTCCTGTGGTGTGAAAAGCTGGGTTAGGCTGAACTCGATCTGCTGGCAGGCTACCCAACACGTGTTCCCAAGCCACAGGCTTCATCCGAAAGCATGCGTGGAAGTATTTCTCATGATAATAGCCGATAATCGCTCTGGTGACCGGATGATCCTTGGGTAACAATATCGAATGCTTAGCCTCGTAGTCCAAGCTCGCGTTTTGAAGCCTTCCACGAACACGAAGTAAACCCTCAGAGCTAAGTATTGGCCTCAGAGAAATCAACTTTCTCTTCGGTGGACAAGGCTTGCCTTGGCTAAGAACCTCATACTCCACCGCTATGTGAACCTGTTGAATGCTCCTTAGAAGCAGAACGGTTCCGAAGCTGATCTCGTCAACGGTAAGATAGATGGTTGAAGGTAATGATTTGGCTCTGCAATTTGAAATGAATCGATAAATGTACGCGAAAACACGCTTCAACTTGTCGAATGAGTTGAGAAACTTGCAGTTGATAGATATGTCAGTGCCAACGGTTCCAATTAGCGCCGTGGAACGCCGTTCCGGAAGGTTATTTACTGCATCTAATAGGGAGGGCCAGTTCGACGCTCCTTTCAGTAGAAATGGAGGTCCATTTGCCCAAAGGGAGTGCTCCAGCAATTCTTTGGGGGTACATCCACGCGATACCACATCCGCCGGATTCAAGTCTGTTGGAACATGATGCAAAGTCATTCCTGTCGTCATGTCCTGGATTTTCGCGATTCTATTAGACACAAATACGTTGAACTCCCTCGGAAGTTGCCGAATCCAAGCCAACACAATAGACGAGTCCGACCAGCAGTGAAAACTGCAATCAAAACCTATGGTTTCCTTAACGTTTACGATAAGCTCAGCCCATAAACACGCTGCTGAAAGTTCTAAATTTGGTATTGTTAAAGCTTTAAAGGGAGCTACTCTAGACTTAGCGCAGAGTAGATGTGCTTCATCGTTGCCATTGGCCTCCGACCGCAAATATAAGCACGCGGCGTAAGCTGGTGTGCTAGCATCACAGAATCCGTGCATCTCGACGGAAGCCCGCGATTGCATTACGAATCGTGGAAATTTTAGGTTCTGGACGATCGACAACTGAGAGGTCAGCTCCCCCCATGACGGAAGAAGGGGTTCTGGCAGTGTGTCGTCCCAATCCATGTAAGTGCTCCATAGCTTTTCCAAAAAAATTTTGGGTTTTGTAACAATGGATGCTATTAAACCAAGCGAATCATAAAATTTCGCAATTGTTGACAACACAATCCGTTTTGTTGCTCGTTGACTTGATAAAATTTGTAATAAGTTAATGAGAAGAGTATCCGAAGATGGATCCCAGACCAGCCACAAAACTTTGGCGATAGCTGATCCGTCGTGGAGTTTAATCAATTGCTCTTTATCGCGATCAGACTCTCCTCATTCGAACTCAATTTTCGGATCGGAAAATGGCCCCGCGCCAGTAGCTCCTTTACCTGATGACGAATTTCTTTCACCTCTTCAACTGAATCGCCACCAGAGATTACATCGTCCACATAGAAATCCCTACGAACGATTTTTGCTCCAACTGGAAATGATTCCTCATCATCATAAGAGAGCTGATGCATGGCTCTTATAGCCAAGAAGGCAGTGACTTGGTTCCATAAGTTACCGTGTTTACTCACTCAATTTATCTGTGGAGTTCTCTCGCCAAATGATACATTGCAAAAAGTCATCAGGGTACGAAACACGAACGCAGCGGTACATCTTGCAGATGTCTCCCCAAAGAGCTACTTTAAAAAATCTAAACCGAAGCAAAATATTAAAGATATTTTGCTGAATTGTTGGTCCGGCTAGAAGCAACTCGTATAAGCTATCCCAGATGTAGTTTTAGCAGAACCATCAAAGACGACACGAAGTTTAGTTGTAGTGCTTTCAAGCTTCTGAACAGAATGGTGAGGCACGAAAAATTGTGGCACCGCTGGATCCCTTAATGCGAGAGACATGTGGCCTAAGTTGAGGTATTCCTGTAAAAATGCCGAATACTGCTCTTTCAGATTGGGTTTCTTATTTAGTTTTGATTCCAAACTTTTAAAACGACGACGGGTTAGGCAGTAGAAGTCACCTAAAGATTTGAATCCTAAAGTGGATAAAAAGCGAACCGAATATTGACCATTCTCCAGCCTAATGCAATTTTCTTTGAAATGCTGAATAGTCCTCGACCAGCATCGATGGTTTTTCTGAACTAATGTCTTCAATCTCCCAAAACCGCTTTACTACGGCAGCAAGTGTGTCATCATCTGAATGATCAGCAGGATCCTTGACAATAGCAAATTTGCGATTTAGCATACTTGACATCCCTCCAGAAACAATCCAACCAAGCTTGGTGTTTTGAAGCGTGGGCAAGATGCTATCCAAATTAATTTTGCCTTAAGCGATTATTTCGACGAACAGACCAGCGCCAATAAAAAAGATCAATTCGTTGTGACTGGTTGAAATGAGAGTCAGCTAGCGAAATGTTTTGTGGCATCCTCCATCCTGTAGTATTTATATTGAAATTTGGCTGATAATCAGTGATGCTATGGGTTTCAACAGCTGCGAATGACGCACGATAGCTTGCATCCCGTGATTGCGCCAGAATATCGACTGCCTTATCAGAGTTCTTGGAAGATTCCCCTATCCCAGAAATTAGTGTGTGCGATTGTCTAAGTTTCAAATTAAGTTGGCTAGTTAGGCACGTAGTAATAAAGTTTAACTGAGAAGCTGAATCTAATATTGCTCGGCAAGGCATAAATGCACCAACTCTATTTTTACGTAGATTATAGCAGTTGGAAGCAGCACGTAATTCATTGGCATTGTATTTTAGGTTTGTGGTGGAGAGTGCGTTAAATGGTGTTTAGGTTGTGATAATGGAAATGAGCATGACACTTGTGATGATGAAGTCGATGGTAATGGCTGAGAGCTTATAGATGAGTCGAATGATGGAGATGAAACTGAGGTCGATGGTGTGGATGACTTTGGGATAATGTGCAGTATTGAATGGTGCTTCATGCGACAATGTTTACAGTGAGATGACTTACATTGCTGCATGCTGTGGCCTTTGTGTAAACAGCGTAAACTATATCGAAGATTGGGACTCAAACTTAAAAATCGGGAGCATTTTGGCTAATAATGATCTCTAGCATCGTAAAATAACCAAATTGGATACTTTGCGTTAGTAGCAGACGTAATTAGTACACTTGGGTTATATCTATGCATGCTTTTTCCCACCTGATTGTGTGGTGTTTGAATTACCACAGCTTGGTCCAAGTTTTCTATCATCCGGCACCTCTTCTCCAAAAACGACTCCATAGCATCCCAGGTAGATAGCTCAGAGATTGGATAAATCCTCTTCCCATTTTTCCAGCTTGTGTGTCACGATATGAATAAGAAATCCATTCATTGTGTAGTGGCCAGGGTACGGATTGCTCGAAGATGCGAATTCATCCAATCGCTGAGCTCCCGAAGACCTTTAGCTGATTCCTTCTCAGCACCTTTTAAACCAAATATTGCCTGAACGAGTGTCTGAAAGTGTAAAACTTTATTATCAAATCGATTAATAAGTAAATTTAAAGCCTTTTTATAATTTTCATTTGAGGGCTCGAGGGATCGTATGGTTTCCAAAGCCACGCCGCTTAAAGAGGACCTCAAATATTGTAGTTTTTCAATGTCACGTAGCTCATCATCATTTGCAATGGCTGTGGTAAAAGTTGCAATAAAGTCCGGCCATTCTTAGTACGATCCAGGAAAAAGGAGCAATCTCTAGATTTGGCAATCGAGGCTTCCTAAATCTGATAGAGAGATCCGCATTGTTTATAATATCAAAGGATGTAGAATTGGCCGCTGTGGAACCCGGCAAATGCAGTTTGCGCAAAGCTGCTAGGGCCGATTTAGTTTCGCCTTTAAATCCATCAAGACTGCTGAAAATTTAAACCGCGTATCTTTACTAATCTCCGAAAAGTCCAGTTTTTCCAGCGAAGTCTGTGCAGAATCGAATTTCAAGTTCATAGAGTTGACCCATTCCAGCCGCGCGAGGTCATCAGATTCATCAAAATGCTCTGTAGCTCCAGGAGTTAAGTCATTCATTGCGTTTAACTGCCGCAAAACGGAACGCACTTTGGCTCGGTAAAACTCGATGTCACTGGGATCATCATTTTGAAGCTGAACCGCGTCTCCTGGGTTAACCATTTTAGTTGTCTGACCGGATTCAGAGGGCAGGAAACAACCTATGCCTATTGCCGCGCAAATATTAACGCACTCCCCTTCACAAAAAGGGAAGCAAGACTGATATTTGCAACTACCGCGGTATTGCCAAACTTAGTGCCATTCCAAGGCTTTTCGAAAAAATCATTTGCGACCAACTGCATCATCAGTGTAGCTGTACATTATCTCCCAATCAACTTGGCTTTACAAAACGTCGTTCAACTACGACATATCTTACCAAAACAATCATTAGTCAAGAATTTCAGTCTTCAAAGCAAAGTGATGTAATTTTTACGCACTTTAGTAAAGCCTTTGACTCGGTCTACGAAAAGTAACTTATTCACAAGCTTCTCCTGCAGTGGAGCTGTCAACAAGTTAATGCTTAATCCAAATAAATATATATCCATGTTGTTTTATCGATCCAATCCATATGTTTACACGTACTCCATTGATCATATTGCCTTTGAACGCATATATACCGTTCATGATCTTGATGTCCTGTCCGACCACAAGATTTGTTCAATCGCCACGTCACTACCATTTCCAGTAAAGCTAAAAGTCTCTGGCTTTCATCAAGCGCTGATCTAAGGAATTTGACGATCCTTACACAACAAAGATTCGTGATGTTTCTTTAGTTCGATCTACGAGCATTATCCAAAATTTGACACACACACTTATGATCATTTTTGATGCGGCCACCTCCATCCTTCCACGCCAGCGTTTCGACTAACATTTAGTACAGAAACTGTGGACTCGATTTGGAAAGCCGATGATAAAGCTCAGAAGCTCAATAAAAACGAATGGGGAGCGACGGACAAGTCAAAGTAAAAAGTCGTTATAGTTTGAATTTTCGAAATAATACCCGACACATATAAATCGCTGCGTTAACCTTGCAATACCCAGTTTTCTTTCGATTTTTTTCTTTGATTCGTCGTTCTGATAAGTACTCAGATTGACGAACAGCTTTGTCAGCGTAAAAAGTTTATTCTCAGACCGACGAAAGCCGTCCGCCAGCTATGAGAAAGAGCACGAAGCAAATAACCGGCGTACACATTTCGTTAGTGCCCTTTCTCATCCTGGTACTCAGATCAACAAACAAAAAAATACCAGAAAATTTCACAGTGCTGCAGGTTTCTTTGAGTGAACGAAGCCAGGCCCTGGCGAAAAGACTAAAAGCGCTCTGCGGAAATCTGCGGACTGTGGGGAAAGAGGTCATTAGGATTGTTAATTTGCCATTTATGACCAACTGAGAAGTTTTTGGTTCAATGGTTTATGACCATCCAGCATATGGGTAATGGATGAGGTGTGTGGAAACGGGGCTTATAGCCTATTCACATTGGCATCCGTCTACCATCAATGACAATGCATAGACATTTGCCGTCCCAACTTTTTCCAAAATATTTTACCGTCGACTTCTGCTGTTCCTATCTCGTGCTGTTTCACTCAGTATATATTGATCCCATCACTAAATATCTGTCATTTGAAATGAATAATTGCAGTACGTTTTGGGGGAACAAAGTGAAATTCAACCAAAATTTAGTAAAGAATTCATAATGTATTGGATGTGGCGGTAGACGCTAGACAGTGGCAGTGTGAATTGTTGTTTCCTATTTTCAGCATCTTTCCATCGTTCCCCAAAAAAATTCTGTAATGTGAATTGGCTATTAACGTATGTGTCGAATCATGCAAGTACTTCCGAAGTAAATTTCGATAACGATATAAGGAAATTGACCTCTATATGTATGCGCAATCGTAAAATTGACAAAATTTAAGTTTGTTTGGAAATCTTTGTTGAAATGGCTTCTGCAGGTTGGAAATAATTTTTGTTCATTTAATATTATATTATTCTGTTATTTTTACAAACCTTATAAGCATATCATGTTATTGCCAATTTTATATAATTTTTGAGATCCCGCATGGTTTTAGTTTTGACACGTAATGTGAGCGTACATGTGTACATATGCGTGTTTGTGTGAAGATTGTTTTTAATGGAAAATATATATTAAATATAATCAATAATGTGAGAATAATTACAAAGCAATGTCACCTCTAAATATTACTTATTAGCTTTAACAGATGATCAAACAGTTCTATTTCTATTGGTTTTTTAATTAAATATGTAATGTTCGTAAATTTTTTTACCACTGCATGGACGTTTATATTTACCTTACTAAACTTCTTAATTGATATTTATTTAGATAATAAAATGCGTTTTCAAATTCTTTTTTAGGAAAAAAGGGTAAAAAAAATAAAGGAACAGTTATTTCTTTGCAATCGTTTCTCTCTAACGCTGATACACCTGTCGGAACCACGCAAGTCTCAAAAAAAATACGAAATTTAGATGGCGAAGACAGCGATGACGGAAGTAGTACATTGCCGTTAGTTTATCAGCTACCAACAGCTCCACGCGCAAATAGGATATTTGATGATAATTCTATTCCTCATAAAGCCCCGTTTATTGCTTATATAAATAACTTACCATTTGATGCAAATGAAGATGATCTTTACGAGTTTTTTGGGTGTATTAATTTAATTTCTCTGAGACTACCTCGTGAAGATGGCGAAAACGGTCGTTCAAGGGGCTTTGGCTATGTTGAGTTAGAAAATCGAGATGATTTAATTCATGTACTTAGTTTGCCAGATCCATCTATTAAAGGTCGTCGCATTCGAATTGAGCTATCCAATGAAAACGATCAGCAAAACCGACAAAAGAACCGGCGGTTTGATGGCTTTGGTAATAGTGGAGATAATAGAGACTCTGGCAATTGGAGGCGAGATAGTCAAAATAACGGAAGTAGTTTTGGATATCCTTCCAATTTTGACAGAAGCTTTAATAGAGAAAGAAAACCATTACCAGAAAGGGAGGAAACGAACACCCCTGGATCATGGCGCTCAAGCGCTAGACCGCAATCTATTAATTCTTCACCCACTCGGAGAGATGTTGAATCTGAAAAATATCGTGACGGCCGCGACAGATTTGCAGAAAGATATTCACGAGAAGATACATCCAAGTTTGAAGAAAGGCCAAAATTAAATTTAAAACCACGAACTCTACCATTACCAGAAACAATTAAAACAGATTTTGAAAAATCTGACGCCGTGGAAACAAATGTAGGCAAACAGAGCGGAACATTGTCAGTGAATGTGTTTGGCTCTGCAAAACCGGTAGATACGGCAGCAAGAGAACTTGAGATTGAGGAACGTTTAGCTCTGGCTCGAAAACAAGATAAGACTCGCAAAGAAGAGGAGTTTCTAAGTGACAAGCTTACCGAAGTCCAAATGGATAAAAATGATAACGAAAATATAAATGCAACGATTAGTTGGCGCCGGAATCAAGACAATAGGGAGGACGACAAAATTAATATATGTCAAGGTATTTACTAGCTTTATTCACAAGTTATACTGATCGTTAATGTACCATCAAAAATAGAAACAAGTAACCAACAAGTAAAATTAAAAAAAAAAACACTACAAAAATCATTTATTGACAAAAAAATTTATTAAAAAACATTTTTGCCTCGTGCGCATGAAGATAGTCGATTTCCTTTTCGTCTTAGGATATTTTCTATAGCAGCACTATTATGCAGTCATTCGTTTTTATAAAATGAAAACCAAATTTTTTCAATATCTCATATATGAGTATAGTCGAAAATATTTGAAATCCACGAAGTTATTATTAATTATACCCGTCATTAAAAGAGTAAAAGGGTGTTATTGTATTTGTTGAGAAGTATGTAACAGGCAGAAGAAAACGTTTTCGATCCCATAGCAATATATATATATATATAAATAGTTTTTTTTTTTTTTTTTTTTTTGATAAGGATTAAAAGCTGAGTCGATCTAACCATGTCCGTCTGTCTGTCCGTCCGTATGAACGTCGAGATCTCGGCAAAAACCTGGTTCACCCAGAATCATAACCATGACTGCGAGTGGGAAGGGCTGAGTCGACAAAATAGTGTGTGGATTAACCATTGGATAATGCTTGTACAAAAACGAGAAAAGAAGTTAACTTCGGCAAGGCAAAGTTTATATACACTTGCAGCTATTTCGATTATTAAATATTCTTTAAAACATTTAAATTTTGAATTGCATGTTAAGCTAGTATGATTTATACCTCATTCGATCGCTCTTATGGCAGCTATATGACATTGTTTTCCGATTTTAAGAAAATTAAAAGCGTAGTTCTATCTATTGTCTTTCTATTGCGGACGACTATAGCATATAGCCCCCATAGGAACAATCGGAAAAAATAAAAAAAAAGTTATTGATTTGCTGCTTTTTAATTAGTATTTTGGAATTGTGGTTTAAATTTGATTTAAATCGGACGTCTTATCATACACAGCTGTGTTCATGGAAATAAAACTTTCTACATTGATTATTCCTAATATAAAATTATAAAATGCATTTTTTTATAAACGACTCATTTATTTTTTTTTACATAGCTTAGCAATTTTTTTTTTCTATTTCCTACGAATTTTTCCGGTTTGGATGAAAATTAACTAAAAAACTACAAATTTAGATGTTCAGTGAAATAGCAGTGTCATCAGAAAGATCTTATTGATCCAATTAATCCAGCCAAAACTTGATCAGAGCAAGCCAAAATATGAAGAAAGCCCAAGAATAAACCAAATCAAGCCATGTTTTTGGTTGTACATAGCTCCCAAGGGAGCAAAGATATAACACATTTTTTTTAAAATTTATTTTTACGATTGATTCAACAGGAGCTATATGATATTGTCGTCCGATCCAACTCGTTCCGATAGAAAGATAACTTTTGAATGAATACATAGACTTTATAGGGTCTGAAATGCCTCCTCCTTCTGACTAAAATTATAATAACCTCTGCGAGGGTATACAAATTTGGACTTACGTCTTTGAAGTTTGTTCGTATCAAGGGAAAATGATTCTATTTTCTTTTAACATATTTAAGTTTTTACATTACAAAGTTTTCCCATTTTCACAACACAACAGCTGCTCCTAATACTTTGGTAAAGACGTTAAAAAAAAATATTATCAAAGACATAAAAACAAAGTAAATAAATAATGTGTCAATTTTTGTTAATAGAAAGTTGTAATACCCTTGCAGATATTAAAAAAAAAGAAATATTCTATAAAAAACAACTAAGTTATGTCTTTTTTTTCACAACTTCATAGTTTTACTCAAAAAACCCCAAAAATATATTAATAACTACAGCTAAAAATGTCATTAAAAGGGTACTGGAAATGAGTGATAAGATTTACCAAAACTGTAATAACGTAAATCTATTGGATACTGAGGAAGAATAATTCCCTTCGATCATAAATTTATTAACTAACACATACAGCTACGGTCTTAGTAGTAGTTGTGTCATCTTTAATTGCTTGCTATTGTTTTTTCACTTGTCCAGTTCATACAATGGTTGCCTATTTTATTAGGTCTATTTTAATATATAGTTGAAAGTCCATTTTGCGGTTTATTTTATTGAACCCTTATATAAAATGGGGACTTATTTCGTGCGGTCAAATTACTAGTAGGGCCGACAATTAATTCAATAAAATTAAAAAAGTCAAAGTCTATACAGGCCTGTTTGTGTTTTCACTCGGAAATGAATTCGTTAACATTGGTGGATTTTCCTTAAACCTAATAAAAGTTCCCTTTCTTGCTAGCAAATTTTCCTAGGGAAATTACTATTTGGGGGAAATAAAACAGCTGACTGATGCTACTGCTCCTTACAAAAGCCTATGGTTTGTCTAAGTTTTCCAGGCAAATCTCTGATCAACATTTGGCCCGCTGCTGCTCTTAATCTTTGTTCATTATTGGTGTACACATTTAATGTCTAAAATCAGTCAAAACATCATTGCTATCCAAAAATAACAAATTCTACTTAATTTAAAGGCAGTGATTGAAACTGACCAACCAAAGTGTAGAGCAACTCGTGTGGAAATCAGCTGTGTTGCTTGAAATAATTCAGAGATTGTTGTTTTGATTTTAACAATGTTTTTGCAACTCTGGCAAATAACAAGTTGAAAAGACAGAAACTTTTGAACATTAAACGCAATAGTCGAAATTTAAGATGTAATGCTAATATTTTTCATTTGCCAGATCTGTCACCTTTCACAAACACCCGGGCAATGTCCACGTTCACCTCCATAAACTTCATAATTATGACGTCTTGTTTGTTGTTCTTATGTTTCCTCCTAATAAAATTTATTTTAAATAGAGAAAATGTTGTTCTTTCTTACTTACATTTTGTGTTTTAAATTTTGTGCGTGAATCAGCTGCTTGGCACCAGTGTTCCAAACTTTTCACAAGTAGTGCTCGGGACGAAAGTTGCAAAGTCGATGAAAAAGGTCCCAACACAACACGCTTTCATCAATAAGTACATTAAAGGGTAAAAAGAACAAAAACACTTTTACACTAAACTTATATAATTTAAATAATAAAGGCCGTGACCTCGTCGCCATGATTTCAACCCTTATAAGCAACGATAGATTCTTAATAATGTCGCTATGTCACAAAGGAAAAAAATAAAAATGTTTTTCCACAAATGGCGGCTACTCAAAAAAATTAATGTTTTTTTGGTTAATGCGATAGAAAGATATTTGAAGAAATTCAAGCCAGATTTCAAGTAAATCGACTGATTAGAACTTGAGATATTGTGGCAACAGGATCAAAAAAAAAACTTTTGAGAAAAAACGCGTTTAAAGTTTTGGAAACATTTATAATGTTTTGGACGCAACGTCACAAAATCGGCTGTATCTCTTAAAATAAATCGAATATTTAAAAATCTTTTAAGGATCATATTTCCGCTTTTTAAATTACTAGACTAGAATACGCATTGCAGTAACAAATTTGAGCTAGAAATCTAAACTTTTACGATGCGTGAGCCCTTTGTAAAATTGTAATTATTAAAAAAATACATTTGTTAATAAGGTCTTAACATTTAAAAAATTCTTAAATCAAAAATTCGCAGAGCGTCTCCCTAATTGTTGCTAGGATAGTTAGGTAATATAGGAAAAAGGCCAAAATCATTCCACCAATACGAAAAAACAAGTTTTCAGACATACAGCGTACAATTTTTCTTACAGATCCACAACACCGATAGAAGCGGAACTATGATAATGCCAATGATACTCAACTCTTGGCTTGTTTTGTGTAATGGTCTTCAATCATTGTTAAAGATAATTTTCTTTAAATTATAGGAAAGTTATAATGTAAACATGTAAGGAGTCAATGGCCTTCTATTTTAAAAAGTCATGAAAGGATACATTTATCATTCGTTGGACTTGAGTCTGATGAGAAACCTACAATAATTTGATCATCAACTTCGAAAAACTCGAATTCAGAAACAAATGTGGCTAATCATACATTTATTACCCAATATGTTCAATATTTTACCTTTTTTTGCTTAAATGACGTTCGGATCCTTCTTGATAATATAGAACCACGGTTTTTATTATTTCAAAAGGAACATAGCCCTACTATTAATTTAACCGGTTAAAATTAATCCTTAACTAAAAAAAATTGTTGTTTAAAAAAAAATTTCAAAATGGACCGATTTTCTTTTGTTTTTAATTATGTATAGTATAATTTGATTATATAGTCAAAAAATGCATGTACTAGACAAGAGAAATAACAATAACAATTATTCAATGATTAAAATAGCTCATAGACCAAAATTTAGCAATAAAAAATTGTTCATTAACACAAAAACTAAAATACCATTACCTTCAAAAGAATGTAAAATAATATTCCATGCACTGAGGATGGTGACGTAATGTGTTGGCGAGAGAAATCTAAACTAAAGACGAGAATAGAAGGACACAAATCAAATATATATGAACGTTTTATTCAAAAAACGTACCATGCTGACCACTGTGCGGACACCAGACTTTGCATCGGTCAGCATCTTGGAACTAAAAAACAATTACAACAAAAGGTTTAACTTGAAATGCTTCATATAAAAAAAATACTCCCACGCAAACGAGACTAAACTTTAAGACAGACATGAAAAAAGTCGAACACATTTACAGACGTTTACTCTATCAAATTAAAAATTAGTTTGCACTCCGCAGGGAAAAGGACGATCGCTGCGTTATCCATATTTTGTACATCCATTAATGAAAATGCGCTACAAAATTCCAAGCCTTGGGCCGGCCAAAACCCATCACAAAACCATAAACACATTACCATGAATGTTCAAATAGGTTTTGTAAGTTGTAATAAATTAAAAATGTATCTTTTAAATTGTTCAGGGGGTGTAACCAGTGCACTATGGGAAATTTGTCCCGTTTTTTGTGGCATAGATGTGTTTTCACAAGAAATCAATTTTTGTTACATACCGCAAGTGTTTACATTTGACTTACTTTTGATAAATTAACAATTCTCCAATGAAACAGCTTAAAACGTTCAAATTTGAAATGGAAATTCAGTATATAGGATTGTACATACTATATGTAAGGACCTATAGGTTGCATATTTTGTGCTTGTATTTCTTAATATTTTAAAATTTAGCACGTATTGTCGATATTGAGCTTTTGTTATAAAAACTCAACTTTAATATAATTTTTAAAAAAATGTTAATGTTTGTTCAGGGAGTGGGTGAGTCCATTCTGTGGAGCCCTTAATTCAACAGCATAAGAAAAATGGAGAAGCTTACAAAAGTATATTAGAAATAGATGGAAAAAAATCTAGGTTCATTTGAGACAAATTTTAGAGCAAAAAGTTTTTTCAGTCTGCTATTTAGGAGAAGAGGCAGCTGAATCAAGAAACAAGATTTATAAATCCGACAAACTACAGCATGCCAGGAAGGACAGTCGAGTTAGTAACTGTTCTGATTATAATTTCGTCGGTCAATTTAAAGAGGCGCATTCAAAAACACAAGAAGTCATTTACCTCTTATTATGCGAATCTGAATTTGCAGATGAGTTTTTCGACGGCGCTGATTAGGGACAGAGCCCAGATATTATGTTTTTTGTAATATTGAAATCGAAAGTGATAAATATATAGATAAAAAGGAAAAAAAAATAAATTTTAAAAACAACATTACGACGGTGGTGAGGACACGACACTTTTCCAAAATAATAGTAAGGGTATAAAAGTAAGGCACTAGAAATAATCTTCGTCAAAATATCTTGCCTAGTCTGAAAGTTATTAGTTTATGCCAAAAAAAAACTGGTCAAATTTCCCATAGTGCAGTGCGACACTACAATAAATCTATTTTTTTGGCGACTGGTCTACTTGATATTTTATAGCCGGATTCCATTGGCGCATTAAAACACATTTAGCCGAATGCGCATTTATTTACACAGGGAATCCCATAAATGCAGCATTTAAAATAAATACGATAAAAAATCATTCGGCCCGAACGTTTTAAGAAAAAATACCGAACAAGAAAGGAAGCAAACTTCGGCAAGCCGAAGTTTATATACCCCTGCAGCTATTTCAAAAACTAAATACTCTTTAAAACGTTTAAATTGGGATTTACTTGCGTGTATGTTTTAAAAAATTGAAGCTATGATGATTTGCTGCTTAATTATTCGATAGTTCCTATGGCAGCTATACGATTGTTTCTAAGGGAGCTATATGCTATAGTCGTACGATTTTGATGAAATTTAAACCGTAATTCTGAAATATTTAACCATTTCTATATCTCAAAGAACTCAAAAAAAAAAATTAAAAAACACAAAAGTTATAATTTTCTTTTTATTTATTTTTATGATTGTTCCTATGGGAGCTATATGCTATAGTCGGACGATTTTGATGAAATTTAAAACGTAATTCTGAAATATTTAACCATTACTATATCTCTAAGAACTAAAATAAGAATTAAAAAACAACAAAGTTATCATTTTTTTTTGTTTATTTTTTCGATTGTTCCTATGGGAGCTATATTATATAGTCGTCCGATTTTGATGAAATTTAAATCGTAATTCTGAAGTATTTAACCATTACTATATGTCCAAGAACTAATAGAAAAATTAAAAAACAGCAAAGTTATAATTTATTTTTGTTTATTTTTTCGATTGTTCCTATGGGAGCTATATTATATAGTCGTCCGATCCGACTCGTTCCGACTTATGTATATACTACCTGCAATAGAAAGACAACTTTTGGGAAAGTTTCATGCAGATAGCTTTAAAACTGAGAGACTAGTTTGCAGATAAATGGACGGACAGACGGACATGGCTAGATCGACTCTACTAGTGATGCTGATCAAGAATATATATACTTTATAGGCTCGGAGATGTCTCCTTCACTGCGTTGCAAACTTCTGACTTAAATTATAATACCCTCTGCAATGGTATAAAAATACCGATGCTTAACGATATTTTATTCGTGCCACCACTACAACAACTGTTTTCTATATGCAAGGTTTGCGCAATTTTGGATTCCTTTCGAGTATAAAATCTATTTTGTATGAAATTGACTGAAAACAAGAGCGCACGCTGCAAATTCTGCTCGCAGTTCCACAATGCATTACTGTTTGATCTCTGGCAGGGAATAATTTCCACATGTACGGGGATCCTTGCCCTTTTTAGAAACTGTGGTGGTCTCCATTACAAATCCGTCAAACAACACCATCAGCTTCGATTCCTTGTCGTCCAAGTTGGAAAATGCCTCGGTCGCATTATGAATGTCCTGCTGAGCATTAAAGAGTTGAGTAAACTCACTCATATTCATTATTTTTTTTAATAAATTTCCTTTGGATTTGCCAAAATTCAAAAGTAAACAAACCCAGATCAGCTTTTCGTGCCACTCTCGTGTCGGAGTAGAATTAGCTTAATGTAAATGCGCCAATGGAATCAGGCACATTTAAAAAGTTCACAAATGCGGCAATGGAATCAGGCTATCAAAACTACGCAGTCGGCTAATTTTTGATACATTTTTAAAGTCCTTAAGTATATGAAATATTTCCTACTTCAAAAATCGTATTGATTTTTTTTTGTTTCAAAAACTCATTTGGCTGGAAATATGTTAGCAGTTGTGGGTCTTTTTTTTCAACTTGCTCATTTCGGCGTCACTTCCGGCTGTTCCTTGGAAAAAACGTCAGCAGCAAAACTTATTGCAGGATCATCTGAAGTAAAAATAAAAAGAATAAGAATACAAATAATACATATATTTTTGTATTCTACAGTTGTGTAATAGTATAAAAGTCGGAATGGGACGGGTCGGACGACTATATCATATAACTCCCATAGGAACATTTGGACAGTTAAATTAAACATTTTCTTTTAATCGAATCTGCTAAACGAAGTAGGGGAGGTCGCTCAATGAACATTCTGGTATCGTTTAGGATGGGAGAATTAATGTTAATAGTGTTTACCCGAACAAAGCTTGTATTTTATTTGTAAAAAAGTCGAACGTATAAATATATCAAACTCTCTCATAAAATTCACGGAATATTGCAAGCTTGTACTTATTAAACAAAAGTTCCCAGATCAGTATTTTGCTCATGTATAAAAAACTTTTGAGTTTTACAACAAGAATGCAACAAAACAAACTACTATTATTTTTATTATTTTTCTATTTCAGATGAAAAACACCGTGAGGAAAAACATCCCCGGGACCGATTCGAAAGGTACATATAAATATTCAACATGGGAAACATTTTATTAACAATTCACAAGGCATGGTATATCTGAAAAACAGGTACACAGCTGAAAATTTTCAGAAATCATTTGTACTTTTCGTGATATTTGGGTGGTCAAAAGTTAAATTTCCACACAAAATAGAATTCATATCCGACCCCTACAAAGTATTTTTTTCTTTTGATCACTATGATGTAGATATGTCCGCCTGACCACAGTTTCAACGCAAAATTTTCCATTTTAATACAGGTAGTATTTAAGTCATACTATATCATAAAGATCCCATAGGAACACTTGGACAAAAAAAAATTAGTTTAAATCTGGATGTTAATAGGAGTGAATTCCCTCATAAATCTTTTGATATCGTATAGGATGGGAGATTTAATGTTAATAATGTTCAATGTACTGTTCCTAGTCGTCGACTGACATATTAAAGAAATAATGCCTTAGTGACATTTGTGATGGTTTAATCAGAAGTTGCCCCTACATGCTTGATCTCAATTCAATCTCAATTTGAAGAAAACATGGAGACGAGAAGACAATCCCAATTGGGTTGATTCGAAGAACTAAAAAAAAAAAATTAAAAAACAGCAATGTTATAATTTTTTTTCATTTATTTTTCCGATTGTTTCTATGGGAGCTATATGCTATAGTCGTCCGATCCGGCTCGTTCCGACTTTTATACTACCTGCAATAGAAAGACAACTTTTGGGAAAGTTTCATGCCGATAGCTTTAAGAGACTAGTTTGCGTTGAAACTGGAGACTAGTTTGCGTTGAAACTGACGGACAGACGGACATGGCTAGATCTTTATATATACCTTAAAGGGTCGGAGACGTCTCCTTCACTGCGTTGCCAACTTTTGACTGAATATATAATAATTTTTCAAGGGTATAAGGATGCTAATTTTAATGTTAAATTGGCTTTGTTCATTCTTAAATTGTTTCATCAATATCAGTTTTTTCAACTATTTCGTGTAAGGGTGCTCTCTGGTCGGGGTACAGATCTCAGTCAGATCCAGTAGTCCTTTTACAAGAAATTGGTAAACCACCGCATCACCGGACTAGAGAGTTACGCTCAACAGGTGAACGAAGATTAAGGGGTCTCTCCGAAGGTTTTTACT